CCTCATCTCCGGTTTCAGAATCATTGAGAAGACTTCATAATTCAGTGTTGGAATCAAATGGAAATACACCTAGGCCTCGTTGTATTGGATTTGATGCTTCTGGAGAATGACATGGACCCGTATTTTGAGCTGGTCTCATTTAATTTATGCACCTATAAAACAAACTCGAACGCTGCAGCCAAGGCATCTGAGTTCATGCATGTGTGACATGATTGTGCCATGTAATTTCTGGAAAGGAGTAGCGTTTTCAGTACAAACTTTAGGTTTTTGACCCTGGTGACCCAATTTTCCAGGACTGCGAAGGTGATCAGTGGAGACCCATTAAAGGCCTGAGGTACGAAGTGATTGATAGCCATGCAAGGCTGGTGGTGACGCTTGCTACTAACTAACTAACCAACCGACCAACTAACGGAGAGACATGAGCATTTGTTGAGCTGCAGTCCGCAGCTATAAACCTGTAGCCGGAGCCGGTGTTGACGCCCAAGTTTTGCAAACCCCATACTCCAATAGAAAGGTCTACGGGTGTTATTGCCAGTTTCCGGACGCTAGGGACGCAGTCGACCCCAATTAATTTTTCCGGAACAGATATTTACACTGCTTACTGTATGAGCAAATGCGCCAGCCTTTGATAAGTGCGGCCGAGATACGTGTAATATCCCTTTGCATTTCGGATGAGCAAGTATGCGATTTTTTTACGCACGTGGGCATTTCAAATTAGGTCACTAGTCACTGAGCATTAATTTGTCTAAGGGTAAACGCATTTTTGGTTTTCACTGTATATAGCTGTTTCGTGACTTAAATGTTATGCTTTTTTTGTATAACAGTGACTTTAAGACCTTAATAAAATAATGCACAATGTTAACAAAACATGCATAGCCTACTGAATTTGTCCTCAGGCTAGTGTTGTTTTTTTAAGTTACTGATTTTTCCTCGTAGAAACTAAGTGTCGTTTTAATAATATGTCAGACAACAAGTTCGATTTCACGATATATTTTTTACCCACTCAAATCTTAAGATAAATTCTCAAACCCATCCCCCCCCCCCCCCCCAAACAAAAGGTTTGGTCCATGTAGTGATAATTGAAAAAGGTCCCACTGGGGCCTGCAGTGACGACTGTTTACTGTTTCGTTTTTATAAGCAGAACTGTAACGTAACGTGAAACAGCCGTCTGATCTTGCCGGAAAGCATCCTTGCTGTCATCTAATGAAGTTTGCTCGCACAAAAAAGCCATCTTCCGTTTGGTGTTGTTGGAGATTTTTCTGTATTTTCCAAGAAAATTCCATCAAAATAGGCCTAATAAAGGTCCATTAACCTAGCAAAATGAAGTCTAATGTCGCCCCAGTCCACTATGGAATCAACTCAACGTCCGGGCCATTTTGGGTTTTTTTTTGCGGAATAGAACTTGTGATTTACTAATGAAAAAAAAAAGAAATCCGTTTTGTAACATGCCGGCTGTAAACTAAGTCTGCCTGGTTATAAATAAAGAATTGCCGTAGAGCCTTCAGGAAATCCCTTGGTGTTTACCGGCCAGGATTTCTCATCGGAGCCCTTGGGTACCGGAACGGTGGTAAACCTCACCGACTGGCACACACACCGTGTTGTATTATTAATCTCAATATGTCGCTTGAGGGACTTCAGTCCGGCCGCGCCGCGCGCTCGGCCTTAACCCGCCCGTCCGCTCGCGTCGTTTTTCCCCATGGAAATCTTCGCTGGATCAGCTGCTATTGTCCGCTGCTTGGTCGCCGAGGATTTCATCTGTCTGGTCTTCTTCTCTCTAATCACCCCGACGTCTCGCGCTATCTGTGGATATTGACCCCGGGAGAATTCGGCTTTTAAGGGTAATTGAAGGACACCGTACATGTGCCTGTTATGGGGTCAAGTTTTTGATCAACGTTATTACTATCTCTGTTAAAAGCTTTGCCGTGAACTGTGCAAGTAAAAAGTGTCAACGTGTTCTCAGATTTTCACCAATCATCTCTAGGCTGGTGCCCCGGTGTTTTGTGTCATAAATCAGTCGAAATGCAATTGGTTTGTCCCCACATTTCTTTCGGACGAAAGCGAGACAAGATCCACTTTCTTCCCTGAACTCTATTCATGCCTAACGCACTGTTGTCAGTAAATCATTTGCTCTGCGAGACATTACAAACCTGATGTCCCCGATCGGAAGACACCGAATAGTAAATCACGCCGTTCCAAAACACGGCCATTTGACAAAATGTAGCCTGAGGAAATAGTTACCAATAAATCATGTGATTCATGGAACGTTTACGTTTGGTGGTGTGTAAGTCAAACACATCAAACCTTTTACTAATTAGGATTTTAATAGTATCGCTATAGTGCTATATTCATCGTGGTTGAATATCGAAAGTGTACATTGCACTTTCCATTAAAGTAACCTTTTGTTTGGCATTCGTTTCACCAACTACTTTATGAAAACACCTGTCGAGCGCATTGGGACTACAAACGTGTTGCTCCCCTGAATAAAGCATCTTTAATTATAGTCAATTACGTGTAGAAACACCTGTTTCTGTGCTAAACTCAATTGTACACTTTTATGTGATGAATATTGTAATAAATGTTGGCATTTGTCAATGTCTGCCTGTTGGGCGCTTAACTCATTGGCAGTACATGTATTTATAACAGTACAGGTTTTTTTGCTCAAACATCAGCTATGTTTCGGCTTCAGCTGCATGCTCCATTTTTCTAGATTTTAGGTCCCTGATTTAGGCCACTTATTTATTGCTCCTTGCACCATACATTCACTATTTCGAACTCTCTCATCATCAATACCTTTACCTTTAGCTCTCCCATCCTTGACGTTTACCATTACATTTGCCTTAACCCTTTACCTTTACCTCTACCTTTACCTTTACCTTTAACTCTACCTGTTACATCTACTTTTACCTCTACCTTTACCTTTATCTCTACCTAATATCTTTACCCTTACCTAATTGCTTTACCTTGACATGTGCCTTTAATATTAGCCTCTACCTTTATATTTATCTTCACTTTTACATTTACCTTTGCCTTTATCTTTATCCTTTATATACCTTTTACCTCTACCTTTACCTCTACATTAGCTTTATCTTTACCTAATACCTTTACCCAAAGGTAAAGGCAAAAAGCAAAGGTAAAGGTATTGGACCTTTACCTGTACCTTGTTCTTTTTGCCTTTACCTTTGCCTTTGCCTTTGCCTTTGCCTTTAAGTTAGTCTATACCATATTACCCTTTCAATATTCTATAGGTTGTTTTGGGGGTCAGTTTATTTCTTTGTCCATCAATATTTTAGGTGGGCCCAGGTTGAGTTGGAATCATTATTGATGGTATCTAACAACTGACCCGATAACTCCGTCTGTCGATAACGACGCCGTAGCTCATTTCAGTATACCTCGATTCTCCAGAGTGCACCTTATTTTCACCCTCATCAGAATTGATTATAGCTCATGACAATAATTCAGCAGTTAATTAGAAACTGAAGGGCTCTGGGGTACCGATGCATGACCTTGTGGCATTTCAAATGACACTGAACGTTCGTTGCTCGCCCCTTCGTCGGGAGAACTGAACTGCTTTCTGATCCTTTGCAAGATCTTTACAATTTTTGGTTAATGCGTGGAATTTTTGTCCATCTTTAATATAATGTCACTTAACCCCACTTTTACCTTATCCTATCCCCACGAATTTCGGTATATTTATGCTTCGGACCACGAGCAATAGATCTCAGCCTATTTGCGACGATACAATTTTGCCTCTGAATAGGAGCTATGACAAGTGCATAAAAGATACCTTTTTGGGACTTGAGTTACAGAGCTCGTATCAGGAGCTTGCCAGTTGTGACATTTTGAGAGACATTGAAATGTCTGCCTAATGTCCGGTGTCTCCCTATTTTTAATGACGACAAAATGTCTCCCAGCGGTACCATAAATGTTATTGGTAATGTTTCTGAGCATTAGTCAGGTAGACAATTTTCAGCACCTAGCATATTACTGTAAAAACAACGAATCAACAATTTCTTAACGATGATATCGAATACTGTTGCACATTTCAAGTGTTTCACATCCAGCCCGCTTGTACTCGCCCGGCTTACACGACCGCCACTTAAAAACAACACTTCTGCAAGCGACAGTCTGTCAAGGATGACACACAATACAGCATTCGATTTGAAGAATAATAATCTATAGACATACTCCGCTTCTCGCAGAATACTCCTACGGGTATTCGGGTTTCAGCCTGCAGAACTCGGATTATTTCCTTATAACGGGTACAAAAATAGCATTGACTCATCTGAGAGTGTGTTAGAATTGTTAGGCCTCGAGGCCTCCCATATACCCAGGACCCCTGCACAATAAAAAAAAATTGTCTGCAAATTCGAAAGCCTTCCCCGTTTGCAATGGTGGCAGGTGCATGCCTGCACGACTTCGCTCGAATCTACTTTTGTTCCAATCTTTTATATCCATTGGAAATGCGCCTGGGGTCTTTTTGTTCCCCCGTCTCTCTAACTTAAACAAACTGTATTTTTCGTTGATTTTGTTTTTTAGCGCGAGGTAAGGCAACGCCGCGCTATGTGCGCAGTAGCCTCGGGCGCCATATCGAATGTCGTAAAATGATATCCGTGCTGAATGTCTGAAAAACACGAGGTGTGGATTTATAGTCAGGTGAATTTTTAATCTGATAGAATAAGAAGGCGCATAAAATTATGATCACACCCTGAAGGTCTTCGTGTTTGGTGTATCCCAGATTAGCCTGATGTTGGTATAAATGCACATCCCGCAGGCTTTTCTGCACTCTTTTTGTAATTACTCGTCGCCTGTTGATTTAACCCTTGCAAGTAGCAGCCATTAATTAAAACATGTCAACCAAAATGTACCCATGTTGGTTAAAACATTGTGCTTTCAAAATGGCTGCCGCGCACAATTATGGAGTATAGCACTTGATGCGTCCGTGCTAAGGTTTAACTTTGAGCAGCTCAATAACTGGTTCTATGTTTGCTTCTGTCATCCAGGGTCGCCGCAAGGTTCTGATGATGGCTTTCTGGTACTTTGCCGTGATCTTCTCCGCGTTCCTGTACTACACCTACGCAACATGGCGCCCCGCGAACATGTACAGCGCCCTCTTCGACGTACCTGTGGCGGGCGACCACCGCGCAGGCGCAGCGCTGCTGGAGGAGAGCCCAGACGTGTTGCGCTCGCAGAGAGCGGAGCTGAGACGAATCTTGGGCGAGAATGTTTCCCTGGCCGGCAGGAAAAGTTCGGAAGGTGACACCCGAGCGAGAGCGCGCGACCCAGCCTCCGCCGACCCGCAGTTGCCTTTTCCCGGTGGGGATTCCTCGATCCTCGGACTACCAAACAAATCGAGCCGTATCGTTCGCGGCTCCGGTGTTGCCGCTAATAGAACTCGTAACGCATCCGCGCCCGGAGGCAGCAACCAGGATCATGTTACAAATGAGAACAGTCTCAGGAGGCGGGTTGAAACTGAGAACGAGGTTGAGCTGACTGAGATCGACACTGAGGAGGAGGAGGACGACGACGAGGTCAGGTACCCTGTCACCTACTCCTTGGATCTCACGACAGTGGGGTTCGAGAATGCCACCCTGAAACCCCCTCTAGCGCCGGCGGTGGAGGGATACGAGCGGGTATCTTCAGCAGAGGTAGCGCACTTTACATCCATTGCGATCTTTTATTAATTTCCATCGTTGCTTTAAGGGCTGAAAGCTGATACTGTGTTACACCAGGCTGTGATTTTCATTAATTCAAGTGCATAGGTCGATAAGGATTTAACGATTTTAGAGTCTTGCGTCTAAAATTTCGAGGGTAAATTTCTCATGAGGGTATCTTGATGCGTTTTGTTTTAACAAGTGAAATGTGATTTGAACATCGATTGTTAAAGTGTATACCATTCTGCAACCATTTTTTTCACGTTGGGTACAGCCATTGGAGTTGGGGGGGGGGGGGGGGGGTTGGCACAATTTTCTACTTCTACGTTGATACTTGGCAAGGTTAATTCGCTCTTTGCACGCTCCACCATAAGCATGCGAAGCCTCGATCTGGCAACTTTACACAATACAAATAGCCGGGAATCACTGAACCGGCTATATTTATGGTGTAAAGTTGCCAGATCGAGGCTCTGCATGCTTATGGCGGAAGTGTGCAAAGAGCGAATACTGCAATTAATACTGCATACAGCGTTGTGATTTTGGTTGCATAGAGGGCCAGGGGCAAACCACAATAATTTACAATCCCGGATTTAATTATTTGTGTAGTCACTGTGGATTTTTTGTTTAATTTAATACGTGTAGGCATTGAGACTTCATTGTGGCCGTTGTTCAGTGGTGTCAAGTTCGGGTCACCTCATCAACCAATCACGAGGCAGAGACATCGACTCTGCGCAGTGCGTGCTGCGCATGAACTCCGCCCCCACCGTGGGCTACGAGGACGATGTCGGAGCGAGGACCACGGTGCGGGTCATAGGTCACGTCAACTTGCTAGTCTTGAACTCCAGCCGCGAGTACCAGCACGAGATCTTCGTCAACCGGACCTCGCGGGCGGACAAGATCGTCATCCCCTGGCTGCACTCCATCCGACTGAACAAGGAGACTAACCTTTATTACAAAATCGCCCAGAATTTCTCAAAAACATTCCCGGAGGTGGAGTTTTACTTCTTGACGCCGGAAAAATCAAAAATGGCGGAAGAAATTTTCAAATCTGAAACAGGTCTCACGACGTAAGTTTAATGCCTTATGAAGAATGGCAAAGGAAAATATCTGTCGCTTGTGACTTTACTTGAGATTGACTTGTGATTGGTTTGTTAGGACTTGTGAGAACTTGTGGTGGACTTGTGATGACATGTGAGGACTTGTGAGGACTTTCAAGGACTTGGAATTCACATATGATTGACTTTTTAGGACTCATGACTTGTGATGTACTGCACGACTTGTGATGACATGTGAGGACTTGTGGTGAATTTCCAGGACTTGTGATTGGCATGTGATGGACTTGTGAGGACTCATGACTTGTGATTTACTTGTGATGACGTGGGGTGACTTTCAAGGACTTGATTGACATGTGATTGACTTGTGAGGACTTGTAATTGACTTGCGAGGAATTTCGAGGACCTGTGTTCAGCTGTGAGGACTTGTGAGGACTTAACTACAAAATCTACTCTGAATAGTATAGGCCATGGGTTCTGGTGATTCAAGGTTCCAGAGCATGAGTTCCTGGCTCTCTGAACACACTGAGCACCCTGCTCATAACCAATACATCGCGGCCAAGGGAAAAATCTAATGCTGATTTTGTTTTATTTCTTAACATGCTCAGACGAGAGGCGAATACTTGGTTGACGACGGGCTGGATGACATTACTGTTCGCCATTGACGTGTGTGACGAGATCGATATCTACGGCTTAGTCGACGAGGGTCACTGCAGGTAGGGGAAAGAAAGAAAGGTTCATGATGGTCAAAGCTTGTACTGTTTCCTGAGGGCCATGGCCTCGGTGACCGGGTAAAATCAGATTTGGTTTAATCCCTGCCGAACGGGGGAAAAGGGCAGATGGGTAGGCGACTGGCGCGGTGAAACTCGGTGGAAATTTGGAGAGGATTTGGAAATGTCAGTTGTGTCTTCAGAGAACATTGCCTGAAGGGGAACGGAACCACAGATTAGCGTTTGTAAAGATAAGGGTGATATCTTGTTTCGGTGCAAATGAATGAGGATTTTAGATCTGAAGTTTTTTTCGTTTCCAAAGTTGGGATTTTTTTTCGCCTCGTGTGGAGAATTTCCATGCATCTTGTCGTACCGAAAGAGAACATTTGCCCATACTGCCATGATTTTAAAAAAAAGCTTTCATTTATATCGACAAAGATTCAAGGCCAGTGCACCCTTGTGCTGGAATTTACTACCTTACGGAGACATGCACACAATAGGGAACAAAAGATTGTATACGTCTCCACAAGAACATTTCTATAGATTAATACGTCTCCACAAGAATTTCACGAAATATATATATGGATTTTACTCAAAAACTAGGAATTTCCAAGGTAGGTTGATCTATCGCAAATGGAAGAGTTTTAGAAAAGGGATATTTAGTCCAAATTTCAGCCCAGGAAATTAATTCTGGTTAAAATAAGAGCAGTTTGAAACTGCAATTTCAAACACGAAAACTTTACTACACGAGAACAAAGAAATGTCTCCACAAGGATACAAATTCCAGAATGGGTGTATAGGATGGGTAAAACATAAAGGAAACCCAAATAGCGCCCTCTTTTTTAAGGAGGTTATGCATGTAGCGCGTTCAAGATCTATGATGTAAAAGCCCAATTAATGAGCTTTCTTTTAGTAAAATAATCATTGAAATCGCTCATGTACTTTTCGAGTTATGGACATTTAAACACAGTTTTATATTTTTGTTCACGGGTCACAAAAAAGGTAAGTGATATATCAGCAAAACGAAAACAATTCACATATCAAAAAACACATCAGAACACTCTCATAACCACGATAACTGGAAACTTATCGTAACATTCCAATATTAATACCACAATTACAATGTCAAGAGTTAATAGTCTGACCCTGCCTTCTATACTAGCTACCTGGTGATCTATGGAAATACTCTGAACCGTTTTCATGATACGACATGGTTTCATTTTACTGAAATATCACGTACCTTGAATGTGATCCGTGGACAAAATATTTAAACTGTGTTTGTGTTCAAAATTCCATAACTCAAAAAGTACATGAGTGATTTGAACGATTCTTGCACTAAAAGAAAGCTTATTAATTGGGCTTTCATAGCCTAGATCTGGAAAGCGCTACATGCATAGCTTCTTTACAAAATAGGGGGCGCCATCTTGGTTTCACTCACCCTGCACTGCAAAATATAATCACAACCTGCAATGCACATCACGGAGCCTTATATTGGGAACACGTCTTTTTGTGCTCTCACAACAGGAGACAATTTAATCAACGCATCCAGGGCGAGCGGCAAAGTCATATATATATATGGCTCCGCATTGAGCCGTCGCAGTGTAGCGTGCTGAAAGTACCGAGTATACATTGCGCATGGGCATCACGCATAAAGGTAATCCTATCACGGGGTAAATTCAGAACGCGGCGATGAAGAGGCTGGGCACGGCCTGTAAAAACACAGGGAGGCGATGCGGACTAATAATTCAATGCATCCCAGCGGTAATTTGTCTGGCGGATTCGGCCGATTGCAGCCTGGTGATTATAACGGGTGAGTTTCGCCGCCGATGGTCGGGGATCCAGCGCCGAGCGAACGATGCGTGAACCGCGCGTCGTTTTCCCCGCTGACAAATTGAACATCTGGACAGAGGAGGAGGGTCGGTCGGCGGCTGAAATTAAGCGTGGATAATACCCGTAGCGACCGGACATTGCATTATGAATTACAACGCTCCGACAAACACTTAATGAGCGCTTTGAATGCGCGAGATGGTGTATATACACGATCGAAGTCGTTGGTAATTTAATTCCCAGTGTCATGCGGGTTGGCTATGCATGGACTTCGTGTATGTGTATCCCATCAACAGTGAAATTAAGAAAGATTATCGACGGCTGCTTCTCAGTGTAAAAATTCCCATATAGACACCAGTGATAAAACCACAACATTTCTTATACTCAAAACTCTCACAGGTGTTCAGGCTGCACAGAAAAATGATGATCAACATGTCATCTTTCATTTTCCTTTCAATTTTTGTTTGGGTTGACGATTGACTTTTTTGAGAAATTCTCACCCAAAGAAGACCACCTGTAAAACGAATGATGTTTCCCAAACTGATAAAAGTAGCCATTTTGAAAAAAAGGATCCCCCCAGAACATGGCTAAATAGCGCCACTTTCGTACCCAATTACATCCGAAATGCTCGGAATTGGAAGCCCCAAGTCCAGGCAAGTGGTGCATTGCCATATCTCTTCAATGGACCGATCCAGTAAGCACCGCCCCATGGTGTTCTGACCAATCATAGCCGTGATTTATGTCCGACGTGCGTGCACTAAAGTCCGACATGCGTGCACGCGCGTATGATACGCGCGGAAGGAAAATGCAGCGTGGCATCGGAGAGGAGCACGTGTTAATTTGCCCACGTGCGCACTGGGCGGAGCTTACTGGATCGGTCCATTCCCCCGATGTCAAGGCTCTCAGAACTCTCTTATATAGAATAATTTGAGTGTCTAACTTTTTATCACTAGCTCGGCGACCGGATTTCTGGCCTTTAGTGGGGTGTACCTCGATATAGGAGGATCTCTTGGCGCCATCTTGTGCACGGCGGTTTATATAAACGGGGACCAGCACACGCGTGAACCAGCGAACTTTCCTTCACACGATGTCGATGTTCAGGCTACACATGAACTAAATGCTGCATTCGAATGCAGTTGTCTAGAGCTAGGACTAGGTCCGCGCCCATTGAAAATACGCAGGGACGCGCTGACAATAGACGTAGCCGTACGCATAGCTCTCGAAGCCCGTTTCGGACACGGCTTAAGTCTTTAGACGAGGTGGACGGTGTCCGTTTCCCACTGCCAAAAAGCTAGCACAGTACACCGCCCTCTTGCGTCAGATCCAAAGACATGCGTGGTTGAAATGACTTTGCTCAAAGCTTTTATATAGGTCTCTGAACAAATATTTATCAAAATTAATTTTAAAAAAGCGAGATTCGACACGAGTGTCACAAAAGTGGAGATCGAAGAGTTACGCTAATTTTACCAAATCTGTTATATTCCACTTGTTATCTTTAGAGATCACCCGAACGACACTACACCCTACCACTACTACGACCCGAGTGGTATGATCGAGTGTAAGTACTATCAAAAGAGCGAGGAGCGACTGACGGGCGGGCATCTCTTCATCACCGAGAAGGCCGTCTTCGCCCGCTGGGCCCACCGCTTCAACTTCCGCTTCCACGCGCCTGCCTGGAATCTCACCGCAAACCCGGCCGCTAACCTGTCCCTGGCTCTGGAGACGCCATTCCTGAAGATGTTTTACGAGGCCAAGCGCAACAATCGGAGCGTGGCGGCGGTGCGCACGCGCAAGGTGGTGCGGCGAATCGTCCGGCGCGTCGTCATCAAGAGAAAGGTGCCCGTCCTGAAAAAGACAAAAGTGTGAGATTGCCAGAGCAATTTGAAGTTTGCTTGGGCACATCGGAGCAGGCACTGCCCCAGAGACAGCTATATTTTTCAGTGGAGCGGGCCGTTTGTGATGAAGCGTGCAGTTTTGAAGGGGTGAGGTTGGGCCTTAGCGAAGACAAGACGAATGAACTTGGTGGGACCTTTACTATTTTAAAGAATTGACAACTCATTCCTCACCACTACACTGTTCCTCACTGTATTGGAATTTGCGTCTTAATAGGCAAAACAAACTCACCAGCCAAACTCGCATGCACAAATAAAGACAGTTTACCCATTCCAATTGGTCGAGAGCCCGTCACGTGGCCGGTCTCGATTCAAACGGTTGATAAAACACTGTTTACCCTTTTATTGGTTGAACGATCACAATCTTCCCTTAGACATGCACATTACTACCAATGAGTCCTCAATTCACCCTACACCGGCACCGCTGCGTTCTGCGCCACATTGCGCAGTACGCGCCACGCGCGCGCCAATCTCCATAGAAGGAGTTTTTACGACTAGTCCCTAGAGGGATATACCATAACATAGCTAGAGGGATATTTTGAGAAACATGAAGTAAGCTTGTTGAACAAAATCGATGGAAATTTATGAAATGTTTGACTTGTTTTTATTTTTTGACCCAAAAGGTAAACCAACTGCTGGTCGCCGATAATGTCCCCCGCCTTCGGCTCGGGCAATTATCCCCAACTCGGTCTTAAACGGACTTGTTTAATACCGGCCAATCACATATTTATTCCTTTATTAAAATACAGAGTTCCTCACTTTGTACTTACAACTCGTGGGAAAATCAACTCACTGTTGGCGATGCTTTTTCGCAGTCATTTTTGTCCATTCATATTTCTGACACACTTCCGCATAATTTAAGCATTGACTTTCCCGCAAAATAATATAATCAACGTTGAGGGCGCCAGACCAAATGGACGACTGCAACGAACATTCCACATTACACAGGGCACAGTGGGAGAAGAAGAAAAAGTAGTTGGCCAAGAATGAACAGAGCTTTCAAAACTCTGAAACATTTTGGAAATTGGTAGTTTTTAAAATGCACTGAATGTTTCACTTCATTTGTAACAAATTCTTGATATGTTATTTTGTCCAAATCAAACTGCTAAAAATGCAGTTGTATTGACTTCAAATAAGTGACAACTGAACATTATTTATTATGTAGGACTTTTTGGTCGTTTTTCTTCTCTTGATTTAACTCAAGTCAATTGTGGCTGGATATAAACACGTTGTTCTAACCAGGGATCATACGATTTAGGCCATAATTAAGGGTTATCAATCATGTTTTTGAAAAGAAATGTACTAAAAGTTAATGTAAAACCAAAGAAAAGCGTAAAACGACTCACGTTTCCAGCATGGACTAAAACGGTGCTATTTTGAGTATGAGAGAAGGTTGCGGTCTGCTTCTTTTTATAAAGATTACTTGGACTTGTAGGTGGTAATTTTTTAAGACTTACTTGAAGTTGTCACGGATCATGGGGACTCAAAATTGTCATGATGGCGTTTTGAAATTTTATGTCTTTATTTGCATGGTGTGACTCGACTGTATTTCTGTGTTCGCTTTTAAAAGGCGATGTCCTTGAACTTACCTTGAGTCTTTCTATAAATTAAAAATGCACTGAGAACGTCAGCTTGCCTAAATCTTAATCTTCAGTTAGCTGAGAAATTGATGTCACTGACCATTAAGATCACATTCTTATTTTCCAATTAAAATTCCTGAATATTTTTTTAACTGTCGGTGACTAAGAGCTGTGAACAAAAGTGACTCCAAGTAAAACTGTTAGTGCTAAAATTTGTAGTCTCGTTCGTTTGTCGAAAAATATGTTTTTGAGCTTTCGAAAGTCAAAAAAGTTCGCATGCAGCGATTGTATTAAGTAATTAACTAAAGCAACTTCACTTTAAGAGTTCACTTTTACACGAATACAGATTTTACGATCAAAGTATTGCAGCATCCGTGTGGGTTTTTTTTACTTCAAATATTAATATTCAGACTTTTATTTATCAAGATAGCCTTCTAATTATTAAGCATTGTGAATAAACTCATTTTTTCAATTGATTCAATAAAAAAGAAAATATCTCATTTTGTTTATAAAAAAAGGCATTTTAACACACTTCTTTTTGTTCGTGTAGTCCGTGCAAATACTGCTTAATAGACTTTCCTGAACTTGTGAAAATAGATTGATGTCACTGACCCACGTGACCCAAGTCAGGGTCGATTGTGGTAGGCAAAGGTCGTATAGTACGCCGCTCAGTAGGTATTAGGCAAGCCTCAAAGCTGTGATGGATGACACAACTACGAGGAAAACGCGGAGCCAGCACCTAGTGCTGGGTCAGAACGATTATAACAGCCGTGCACAGCACAGGCAGTAAGCGTTATGCCATTTGATAAAGAATTCGCAGTTATTTTAAATGGAAATAAGCCTATGGTCTGGTTTACAGGACAACGTGGTTACTAACCCAACACTTGCCTACTGCAATAGCGGCCAATTACGTAGACTTGACTCAAGTCGAAATAGCTTGCTGCATCACATAAAAATAACATGTACATGTACGATTTTAACATGTTGGTCTGGATTTGACGCATGAGGGCGCGTTATGGTACGATACCATTGATCTCCATATGGAGATCAATGTACGATACAGACCGAGCGCAACCCAAACTTAGCCAATTCTACCAATCACGGGGATCCGGATGGTCACCTGGTACTTCGTACGATCTGAACCTTTATCTGGCTCGTTATTGTGGCGTCGGTTCAGTTAAACCGCGCCCACTAAACATAAAGTAACGCAACTTGAGTGTTTATCCAATGGGCGCCAGTGCAGTGGTGCGCGCGCGTACATGACGAATTCACTAGCGAACCGGATTCTGACGTGTTACGCACTAGGTGTGGCGTTCTGCGCCTTTGCCTGAGCGGCCCGAGGTTCTTGCCTCCGCTTGTTCCTCTCGTACTCCCGGTACCTCCTCTTGAACAGCGTGTCTACCACGGTGTCAGCACCGTAGCCCTTCAGCTGGTCATCCCAATACGGCAAGTGGAAGCGGATCCCGTAGGCTGCCGCCCACTTAGCGAATACGGCCTTCTCCGTCAGGAACTTGTGGCCGTGCCGTGCGGCGCCCTCACTCCGGTTGTAGTAGCCGCACTCTGCCTTTTTGGCGTCGTCGTGGTAGTAGTGGTAGGGCGCCGTGTCGTTAGGATGCTCTCTGGTTGAGGAAAGGCAGATAACCGGATAGAATCAATGTTGGAGTTGAGTCCATCACAAGTCCATCTCAAGTCCAGCACAAGTCCTATGATCTCAAATCAAGTCACAATTGCAAGCTGTTCATGTAAATTCCCACTAAGCATTGTTAATTCCTTGTTCATTTGTGACCGAACTTGTTTTAGGACTTAATACTTGTGATACATTTTACCAGACTTGTGTTGGACTTGTGACGGACTCGACTACAAGATTAGATACCAAAAGTTTCAGAGGAAATCAGGCAGATTATCGCAGATTTCGTTCATTTTAAGACTTGTGTCCTACCTGCAAAAGTCCTCGTAGATCATACCGTAGACATCGATCTGATCGCAGACATCTAGAGCAAAGAGCATCGCGCCCCAGCCAGTCGACATCCACACTTTGACCTCCGACCTAAATCGACAAGAGAAGACCATAATTGAAAAAAACACCAATGCAATTTATCCTGATACATGTAACAAGAAGGACCCAACTCCACTTATTCGGTGGATCTTAGACCCCACACGTTATTGCTCACAGAAAACCCTATGCTCATAGTCGGGGAGAAGCAGGTAGTTGTAAAGTACGTTGCATAAAGACACGCACCCGACTGGACTCGAACCCACAACCTGCGGAATTACCCACAGATCTGGAGTTCGATACTCCGGACCACGATGTCATGGCACTCCCTTCAAGTTCTCAGATTTCTCAACGATTGACGATTACGATCTGCAAGACTTACTTGGAGATGTTGAGCTCCTTGTAAAACATCTGCTCATTTCTCTTCATGACTTGTTCCGAGGAGAGGTACACGTTAACCTGGTGGTACATGACACAGAACACCCGGCACCACCTCTCGGCCGGGTTGTACTTCCACCTCACCCCGTAGTGCCACACCACCACCAGGTCGGACCGGGTGGCCGGGTCCCCCAGATACCACCGCCGCTTGCGCATGGTGGACAGCAGCAGGGGGAAGTTGCGGTGACCTATGACCCGGAAGCTGGTCCTGGTACCCACGTCATGTTGGTAGCCCTCCGTGGGGGCGCTGTTCATCCGGATGACGCAGTCGGCGTCGTCGATGTCCTCACCGGCGCCTTGACCCAGTAGACGACCGGCGCTGTTGACTAGCGCGCAGGACTGGCACTGCTTGCTTAAAGGCTGTGTGTAATGAATACCAAAAACAAATTAATTTGCTTAGCACAAAAAAGTCTTGCTAATAAAAGCAGGTTACCAGCCAAAACTTCATGTGATTTTCATGCTAAGCAAACCACAGCTGAATACCATTAACAAGCAATATACATCACATGGACATTTGGTTGGTAATCCTGTTTTTGCCAAGGCAGACTTTTCGTGCTCAGCACATTTTTGTGCTTAGTAGCTCCATGAAATTAGCCCTGTAGTTTTGCTTCTATGGCCATTTTCCAAACCTCGGTTCAGTGTCCGGCTTTGGCTCTATGTCTTCAGATTCACTGAGGCTTAACCTATCATTATCCCTCATTATAATAAATGTAACTTTTTTAACGACCCTAGGCAATACAGCGTGAGACAGCAGCTTGCGGTCACGTACTGCTCTATAACATGGGGACGAGGTTTTGCCTTACCCGTTTGTCCTTGAAAGTCACGTATCCCTTTGGCCCTATCCAGTTGTCGGGCCTTGTTCTCAGCAGACGTCCTTCCGAAATAGAACTGTCCCTGGACCGGTTTGAAATTCGGTTCGCAGCTTGCGACCCGTGACGCATTCGGCGCTGGCTTTTGGCCGCAGGGTTCAGGGAGCGGATTGCCGTCGGCGTCAGCGATGTCTGATTCTGTGACGGAACTATGCCAGGCGTGAAGTAGAACAGTACTGGCAGGGCACAACAGGTGATATAGATGGCCAGTATTTTAATTAAGCTCTCAGGGGTCTGTGAATTAATACACAGAAAGGTTGAATGCACTAGGAACTGTGAACGTCATCTTTAGCAAAATTGCCAATATTACGAAACAGAATTATGCCATGGGCTGAAACCGAGGACATTATTGTTTCCAATAGAGTTGTTTGAGTTCTGGTAATTGGGTTACATTATTACCAAGAAATGAAAACTTGGGGGTGTCCTATAGTGGTTTGGGTTCGTGACTCGTGATCAGGGGTCAGGGTTCCAGTCAAGCTGCTGGTCATGTGTCCTTGGGCAAGCCACTTCATCCCAACGTTGCCTTTCTCAACCCAGGAGTATAAATGGGTACCGGCATTAGCTGGGGAGAATTCTGCGATGGACTGGCATCCCATCCAGCGGGAATAGAAAGATTCTCACTTGTTTCATGCCACTGAAACCGGAGATAATGCTGACCTGATGGGCCATATTGGCTCATGACAGACCTCGTTTTGTTGGTTTAAGGTTAATGTCATTCCCCTCGGTTGATGAATACTCACCAAGGTTGAGTTGTTGAACGCCATGTTAATTCCAGTTGCCAGCTACATAGCAGAGCAAACCACAGGTTGTACCATATCTCCTGTCTGAAGTAGTCTCAGACCCAGCCGGCGATGAATACTGTAAACACCATGATATCTGAACACTAAAACGGATTTGTAAATCATCACAAGCGATCTGACCACCAATGTGTACAACAAGTTGTATGGTTCATCACATATAGACAAGAATTTTATGAAATACAACCATCTCTCATGAAGGCGTGGAGCACTGATAGACCTTTTTAGCGTTGTTTAGATTATCATGGACTGGAGTAGTAGCAAAGATACTAATGAAAACGAATTCCATTCAATAAAAATTCACTTGATTGTTGTACGAGCAATAGCACTAATACACATCTCTATGGGCGTCCATCTATTCGTTTTCACTATTCTTCATTCGGGCTAATCGTATTATCTCTCTCATATCGTGATCCACAATACCTGGGTATTGATCGCAACTGGGCCCGTTACGTAAGATTTGTTTTGGTAACAAAATAACGGCCAACCAATCTTTGATGCAGACTTAGTTAAAATTACGTACCAAGATTTTTGCATTTTGCCCAGTTCATGTTGATCTTTTATTTTGACCGCCATTCTGTATGAATTCCGTGTGATCTTTCGGTTGAAAATTGGTCGCACACATACACGCGCGAACTTGAAAAACTGGGAAATTTAAAGGCAAAATGGATCGTCTTCAGCATGAAGTAAATGTCAACAGAGGGCAGTTCGTATTCCAATCACGTAAATTTGCCAAGATCGGCATAGCGGAGTGGGGGCGCTGTTCATTACTACTGTTAAGGCGCCAAAGAAAATGGTTGCCAGAACTTGTATCTCGATAAGTGGACACGATATGTACCGCACATTTATGCGCCATTGCGAACAAAACCCTATTATATTACGTCATCGCGAACCTACACCTCATTCTTTGCCTATTTTTCTCCCGTTACAACCCTCTGATTGCCTTCGCAACTGAAATTTCTCCATTGGACATTTTCATTCACAATGGATATTTCTTTTCTCCGAAAAAATAAATTCTTGGTAACTTAACCCTAAAGGGGCCGGGTTATTTTGACCATCTCTCAGCCGGGGGGGGGGGGGGGGGGGGGGGGGGGGCGGATTTTTTTAGAAGCTATCGCGGAAAATGTTGAGGGGGGGGGCGGATTCCGCCCCCCCCCCCCCCCCCCGCCCCTTTAGGGTTAATACATTTCTGGAATTTTGGAAAATTAAATGAGAATTTATAAAGAAATATAATAACGGATTTTTACGTGTTTTTTTGTTTTTTTTTAATAATCTGTCCATCCAAAAATGATGTGTAATGTTGTGAGGAAGAGGACGAGTCATTCTCCATTTCAGGGCGGCCGAGTGAGGGCGCTGTTCCCATTTCCCTTGTAGAAACGCCCGCGGTCTAATGAAACCTCAGGCTGAAGAATGAAGCCTTCCAAAATGACAATGACCAATTCCGTACTTTAGCAATGACAATATCGGATTTCATCTTCAGTAGAATAAGTCCTTCCTGTTTCTTAATATAGTCGTCTTCAGATCTTCGACTCACGACTGCAACCCCCCCCCCCCCCCCGCTTTGCAGTGAAACATGAGACGGTGGCGAGAAATTGGGCCCAATAATCTTGCAAATTGGGGGTCTCAGGATGGCCATTTTCCCCGTACTCGCGAGGTTTATCAAATATCGCGTGTCCCACTGCAGTGAATTTTCCCAGATATACGAATACGCCGTCCAATTCCTATGACCATGCACATAAGCACTACGGCTTTTCAAATTTAGCCAACTTGCCTTTAAATGTACATGTGAAGACAGTAACTTGAACAAAATGAGATTTTTACATGTCCTTCATGAAATTCACTAGAGAATAATCGTTTGCAGACAACGCAAAATTGTCATTTGTGAAGAAATGTTACCAAAACATGGGCGGAGCCATGTTTGGTTTCAAGAGGTGGTTTTGCTACCAAGAGGGGGATTTATAGCAGGCATAATTTTCTGTGTTTTTTGCATTTACAGCTCAAGAGGGTTGTTGAAAAACGATTGCTAAGCTAATCCAAACTGTTGAACACAAATTACCTCCGTTTTTTCAGAGCCAACACTGTCGTCTTTAAAGAAGGAAAATCCTATAATTTTGACAAGGTTTTTTTCAGCAAACCTAATGTATCCACCATTAGGCCTCCAGTGCCCGTATAGTCAAGTCCAGTCATGTTTCTGATAATGCTTCTACATTATCGTTATCGCTTTTTTTTTTCTTGATAATCATCCCATGGTTGCCATAGCGACAGCATATTTCGATGCCTTATCTAGGGTCGCCTGGCTTGTCCTGTAAAAAAAAATAGGATCACGCGCATTTGTGAAACTAAAGGTGCGTTATAGGGTCGTCTTCATTGAAAGAGATTTGTTGAGTTTCTGTATTGGTAAAAAATAAGTCCATGTTCTGCCAAAAGTGGCTCTAGTTGCATCCCCCGCCCCCTCGGCCCCCGCCCGGCCTTCCCCGATTTTTCACCCATTTTTTTAATCAACTGTTCTGAGTGAAGGAGGATGTTTAGGTTTTGATCGTACGGACCGGTGGATGGCAGGGGGTGGAGGAGGGGGACAAAATTAGGCCTATATTCAATCTAAATTTAGACTATGGGTGGCATTATTTTCTTTAAGCAAACTATTGCCTTTTGAAAACATTCACAGTGACACCCATCGGCACTTGTTTGCAACAATACCCAAATGACCCCCCGGTACATAGGCATTAACAATGTATACATGTTGAATTTTTAAGACCCCTATCGATTACCCCACCCGTCGCATTGTGCCCGTTGTTCCCCTTTGTGGCATTATGAATGACCTGGAATCATCAAAATCGATCTTTTTCAGAACAGGAATTCTCTCAGAATAGAAGCCTGCCCCCATTATAATTCACAGGACGTGTCAACTAAATGGAGCGCCCGCGGCATGGGGTCGACTTATGTTTAATTCACTTTTTTTTTATGGAAACGATTTTGTCACTTCTTGCGCACCGTATCCTGACGACCACGTTTCAAGTTATTACAAGTTTAATGACCGGCTGAAGGGTCAGGGGTCGCGTTGTGCTGGCGGGCTATTATTGGCAAAATCGATGTTATTTCGGTCTAGAGTTTCTCGCCAACTCGCGCCGCAAGAGCCGCTAGTGTTGTTGGCACACCTGCAGTGGCTGACATGCTGCTGACATGCACCCCTACTTACGATACGACATCGATCCGTCATCGCTAGCGCTCCGGACGGTAAAAACGCGCCCGTGATATCAGCCTAGGCGCCCCACGAGAAGTTCCCATGTGACGCGGTGACTGCGCGTTTACTGGAGCATCACCGTTATCACACTCAAGAGATTGAGCGCAGTTTTACAACCCAGTAAAAATGTGAAATCACTGGACACTATCCGACCCCCGTCCTAAAATTTGGACGAATCTTCGAGTGGCATAGAGAGCAACCTTTGATGCTGAATCTGCTCCTAAAGACTCGCCACAGTCATGATGCAACGAGGACTGTTGTCATAGGCCATCTCTTTTAACGCCAGTCATTCCTCACCGCGTCTTAAAGAAAGAGTCTCGCGGGGATGCAGAGTAGAGGGGCGACTGAGAGGTTCAGATGAGTGAGCCGCTGTAGCGTGCCTTCATCATCAGCTTACATGCTCCTCACCAGAACATAATTGCCGGTAAATGGGCAGGACGGTTGCGCCTCTTCTATCCGTGAAGACTTCTTCAATTTTTTCTTCGTCTTCTTCTTCAATTAGGCGGCCCATGCTCTTCATCCATCCCGATTCGGAATGGGGATATTACTGTGTCTCTTCCGCCTAATTCTCCAACAGATGTGACGAGTAGCGACATCTCCAAATTTCTCCAATTCCAGAAATTATTGCGAGACGACATCTCAGCTTTGGGACAGTCTACTTTGAATGACGGCAATGGTAAGATATTCTGTCTTTCTCTCTGAACACGCTACCTTCCAATAAATCTAGTTCTGCCACTCGTGATTCGATATTTTTGCAATTGAAGGCAGAAAAAAGCGGACAAAATAACATATTTTTTTGTAAAGGAAAAGTTTCTCTTCTTATAAATTCATTTCCCATGTAGTTTCTCAACGTATTACCTGCATAGCTGGTGAAAGTGAGCTATACTTTCGTCACAAAATTAAACTGTCGGATGGCATGATTGTATCCGCTATTGAAACGCGATCCTACCGTTGAAAATGTAGATAATTGGAATGGGCAATACTACGCATCAGCCTTAGGCAAGATTTGGCGAACGTAAAGCGGTGTTTTCTTTCCCCTTTTGAACTCTCGGACATTAGGCATTCTCACAAATGAACGCATACTGAGTTACGTATACATTCGCGCACGCAAAGGCTTTACAATCGGATGTAATTATCTTAGCAAACGAAACGCCATAAGATATGTTGTTACACTTTGCAACGTATTATGTTTTCCCAAATTGAAAATGAGATGTCATCAAATTTTTATTTTTTTTTATTTTTATTTTTTTTTATTTATCTCCATTTATTTCTGGTAATGAAACCAATGATTCCTCAAAAGCACCCCAGACACTGTAGCTCGCAAGCCTGAAGAAACCTGTAGAAAGGAGGCATTGAGAAGAAATTACAGTTTTTAGAGGTGGGAGGAAAAGCCCAGAAGAATATTCTGGGGAAAACCCACGGCATCGGGTAGGTACTGAAAACCCAATCCACATGTGGTCCGGGCGGGATTCGGACCCGGGCCATAGCGTTGGAAGGCGAGGACAGTAACCACTGCGCCAACCTAACTCCCTAAAACATAATAAATAAGGGAAAACCACAGCGACATGTCCCTAAATCTGTAAGAAGTAACACTCTTTTTACAATTAGAGTAGTTTAACTTTCCAAATGGAATCCCCTTTTTTGCATTACCACGAGTTCCAGTCTTGAGTTTGAAACAAGTGCGAGTGCACAACAAGCTCTGACCGTCTTGCATGCAAGTCTTGCATGACGTCTATCAAAATGATCCCTGCCAGAGCTTAAAAATGAGCCACCAAAAAAATGCGACGCCGATGGCACATATGGAACACCGTACTTAAGATTTATACCTAGATTTATAGCGATTTGTGATAAATACCACGTGGCTATAACATTGCTGCACATATTGTTGCCTCCATTTACAAATTTTCCAAAAACATCTTGCCGAATTGTAACA